AGTAAGAGTAAAAAGTACTGGAGGCAAAACATACTTATAAGTAAAAAGTACAAAGTATCCTTAAAAAATACTTGGAGTAAAAAGTAAAAGTACTATTGTCTGTGGCATGTAGAGGGGGGGAGGAGACTTTTCCAATCGATTGACCACAAAAGACACAAAACAGCACATGCATTATATGCGCGCACCTATAATATACATTAGTATGATTACATAGGTGATTATTGAAAATTCTCCACGCCGATCGGTTGCCGTTGAGGTGATTATAACGCGATAATCACCTAAACGATTTTCGAAATGGCAGCCGAAGCCGTTTTGTCAATTAAATGACCATGAAGAAATGTCAGTGTATTTTTTTATTTTTTTCCAAATAATCACCTATGAAATTATATACTAAAACGATTATTCACCTCAAGCTCGGTGATTATCGTGAATAAAAACCTTGACTAATTCTTCTCAGTTTTTATTCACCGATAATCACCTCGCCTTCGCTGAATAATTGTTAAATATTTCACGGCATGGTTCACTTTCCAGACCCCATTGAAGATATAAGAAGTCCATTAAATAAATGATGCTTATATGTAAGCCACAAACGAGAGATCCCAGGTGCATGTAAAGGTAAAGAGAACCCTGGGTACAAGGTTGCTATTACCTATCCCAAAATTAAAATAAATTTGGAATAAATCACGTAAAATTAAATTAAACAAAAGTTAGAAAGTAACCGATAGTTTTTGGTTAAAAATTGTCCCGTTTATATGGCGCAGTTGCAAGCGCCTTTCACCTCTGAGATCGTGGCATAGGCGTACCGGGGGGGGGGGCGGTCGGGAAATATTCGATTAGGCGTACCGGGCAGTCGGCCAATATTCGATTATCAGTCGGGCAATTTTGGTTAGTAATAAAAATAAATGGGACAAATTCTGTCAATTTTGTCGGAAATGAAGTCAATTTTTTGGTTAATTTTGTGTTTTTGGAAAATTTTAATGATGTTTCGAAATATTTCGGTATGTCCGGAAAAAATTTTTGACCCCTAAAATGGTACACTGACCCAAATATATTTTTCGCCAAAATAATTTTTCCCGGAAAAATTTTTGGGTACCAGTCGGGTAAAATCCCGAAAAGTCGGGCAAATTTGTTTCCGCCCCCCTATTTTTTTCCTTCCGGTACGCCCGTGGATCGTGGGTTCGATTCTCGCTATTATAGACTCATGCAGTGTGGACTCATGTGAAAAGAGTCAGTCAACGCTCTGCCGAAAGTCGTGGGTTTTCTCCAGGCGCTCCGGTTTCCTCCCACAGGGAAAGTTGACAGGGAATATCACAATTGTTGTAAAGATAATACGGTCAGGGCGCTACAGGTAATTTTACTTACCTTCTCGAGGGGCAAATCCATTTTGTTCTCAAATTGTCGGTTGGATGTCCAACATAACAATTCTGGGATGTTGGCCTGTTCAATTTTTCTTGTGAGCTTCGGCCAACACGTTTTTCTTCGATTTTATTATGAAACTATTATATTGTCAAAAATGGTGCACTTTCAAGTTCGTTTATTGGAAAAATAAGTTGTATCATCAGAAACTCATTAGACATTATTACGGCTACCTTGGGTTTTTCAAGCGGTTTCTGAGTTGTTGCTGCTTCAAAATGTGAAACAGTTCAAAATGGCGCAAATTTCCTGGGCGTTAGTCTGAAAATACGTTTTCAAACGCTCATAACTCAACAAGAACTTGAAAAATCAATGTAACCTTAAGGTAATTCCGCAGTTTTGCATTGCGCACTTTTACTGCGCACATCTTATAACTTATAATTTCATCCATTATATACGTACCGTTTAAAAAAAATCATTTTATGTCAATTTTATGTTACTTCAAAACATCTTTGGTTACATTAGTGAAAAGAATTACGTTAAAATCAATGTTTTCAAAAAAGGCATACAAAAGTGTAGCTAGGGTTCCCTGTGTCTGTAGTATATTTATTTACTTGTATTTCACGTTTTAATGCCACAATTCCCCAAAAAGATCGGTGACCCCCGTTTTTTAACTGATAATTTATTTCTTTAATGCATTTTACATTTCATATCCGAAATTAAAAGAAAAATCATTTCTGGATCTTGAAAAAAAAATCCTTTATCAATGCATGTTCTCAAAGAAAGATATGTAAAGAAATGTGGAAAAGACATTTGTGGATCAGAATTGTACACGTCAGTAGTTTCAATTTGTTCAAAACACAATATTTTTTCAAAAATAATTACAAGATAGGTTTATTACAGGTAAACTACGTGAAGCGTTCCTCTTTTGTGTTCCTAACTCATTTGGAATTTTCAAAATTAGATTTGCAAATTTGAAAAACCCTTCGCAAATCCCTTGAGGGAATTTGCAATTTTCCTGTCGGCCGTTGCAATATTCCAACGCACAGAAAGTTCCTTTCAAATTTTCAAACTTCCTGTTTTAATTTCCTAACTTCCTATTCTGTTCTGAGCGTTATCATTGGTGGATTATTTTTGTTAGCCAATTGCAACGCACAGAACAGAACAGGAAGTTAGGAACTTGTAACAGGAAGTTAAGAACTTCTAACAGGAACTGAGGAAAATTTATTTTGCTCTTAAGAACATTGCAAATTTCCTGAAGGGATTTGCAAGGAGTTTTTCAAATTTGTTAAGGTAATGACGAAAATTGCAATCAACTTAGGAACTCAAATGAGGAACGCTTCACGTAGTTTACCTGTAAAGCAAAATCCGCGCTAAAAACGTCAATAAATATCTGGCTGTTGTGATTTTGCTGTTACTCGTAATGAGCGTCAAGATGGCGCCATATTGGGGTAAAGGTGGTATATTGTGATTGTCATATCTTCTTAACGAGTTCGGTGACCCCGACTTTTTTGTGTGATTTTACTTTAAGTATATCATAAACTCCATGCCTGGGAAGTTTCAGCACATTCTCATTTCGGGAACAATTACTGCGGAATTACCTTAATAATGTGTTATATGTAGTTTTTTTACGAACTTCTGATGATGACAGTTATTTTTACAATAAACGAACCTGAAATTTCAGGAAATTTATTAATTATAGGAAAATTGAAAAAAAACTTAGTTACAACTAGTCTACACGGCAAAAAACGCCGAGCCCGCCGCTACTCGACAGGACTGAACATGTTTTGCTGCCCATGTTGTTCACACTTGTCAACAATATTGAGCCTGAATCGGGTGTAACAATATTGTCCAATATTGTTGACAACTGTGAACAATGTGGGCAGCAAAACATTGTTCAATCCTGTTTTCATCAATATTGCAACAACCTGAGCGTTTTTACGCGTGTACGCTTAGTACACGGCAAAAAACGCCGAGCCCGCTGCTCAACAGGGTTGAACAATGTTTTGCTGCCCACGTTGTTCACAGTTGTCAACAATATTGAACAATATTAATTGTTGAGCCTGAATCGGGTGTAACAACATTGTTCAATATTGATCCCACATAACGACAACATGGCGGTGTGTTAATTTAAACAGAGGCGTAGCCAGGGCTGGGGCCGGGGGGCCCGGTCCCCTCTGGCAAAATTTTGCCCCCCCCTGGCAAAATTTTGGGGGCCCCTCTTATAAAATGTATTGTATAAAAAAGGGAATCCTTGATTATATAGCTTCATGCTGTCAATAATGCAAAAATTCTGTAGAATATATGCTTTGCTGGGCATCGGTGTGAAACCTAAAATCACTTGTTCGCTTATTTGCGGCACACAGCTAGCTTGAAACACATACCTTTTCTAACCCTAATTATTTCAATATGTATTAAATGAGGGTTAGATGAAGTTTAAACCAATCTGGTTTTTTTTACAAGTGAATTTTTAATGCAGGCTCAGGCAGTGGCGCCGTGGCCGGAGGGGACGGGGGGTGGGAGACCCGTCGGAAAATTGAGACCTGTCGGAAAATTGTCAATAGAGAGTTTGAGCAAGACAACGAAGTACGAAGACGAAGGCGTATACCTGCCAATTTTTGCCGTAGACCAGGGGCCGGTTGTATAAAAAAGTGATTAAAGTTAACTATAATTAAGTGGAAACGTCATCCAATAAGAAGCGCCTATTTGAGAGTTAATCACTATTTAACTACAAAATAGTGATTAAAAAAGTGATTAAGAGTTTTATACAACCGGCCCCTGTACATTATCTTGCGCATACTGAGTTGGACGTCACTGGTGATTGCTCAACGTGTCTTCCCATGTGTCGCTGTTTATGCATACTGACCCTAATCAGAAACCATAACCGGATTACTAACCATAACCGGATACCATAAAAACATGGTAAGAAAACAATATCCGGTGTTAGAACTAGCCAATCAGATGCCAATTCGGAATATGGATCGTTGCACCGCGCGTAAGAAGGGCTCTGGGTACGAGAATGGAACAAACTTCAAGGCAGAAGAACGAAGATGAGATATGGATTCATGTCTCGCTGTTTTGTCCTGATCAGGGTAAGGATTTGGGTCAGCATTCATAAACAGCTAGACATAAATCTCTAATCTGTCTTCACGCCTGACTCTAAACTCAGAATGCGTAAGAAAATGTGCAAGACAGGCAAAAATTGTCAACCACGGTCCACATTGTCGTCGTCCGACTTCGTTCTCTTGCTCAAACTTTCTACTGTTGTCGGAATCTTCGTGGTGAAGCATCGGAAAAGTGATACGGAAATCGGGAAAAGTGCTACGAAAGCAATTGTAATGTTACTGTCCAGAAAAATTTTTACCGAAAAAGTTCACTGGCGGCTTGGCCCCACCTGGGTTTTTGCCGGCCCCCTCTGACCGAAAATCCTGGCTACGCCTCTGAATTTAAATAGAAATATCTGTTTATCAACATGGGGGGCCTATTATAGGGGGTACGCATCTCCGAAAACCGCGCTGTTTTTCAAATTTTAACCGCAAACCGCGCACTGATTTCTCTTTTAAACGTAACCGCGTTCAAACCGAGGCATATGTGGTAACATATTTCGCAAAATAGTATATTCCGAAACACAGTGGCGTGCTGGGTACCATTATTCTGCGGGGGGGGGGGGCAGTGAGCTGGCAACCAATATGCGCCCTATAATGTGACGCTTGGTAAACGAGGGCCGAAGGCACGAGCCGAGCGCTGCAAGTGTGAGGTTTTGAATTTGGAGTCTCTCAAATGCCATTTCCTGGACTTTGGGGGAAGATTTGACGGAAATCTAATGGTTAGGAAACGGCATTATAACGTGTCGAAATTCGCAATTTGGTTAGAGTTTAGTAGTAGTTCTTAAATTGGGCAATATGCTAACTACCTCCAGCAATTAATCTAATCCCAATTCTATTCTCTACTGATCTGAATACATTGACAAATTACAGCTCTTTTATACAATAACACACAGAACCCACGCATATGCATTTTAAGGTTTCCTTGCCTGGCTGCCAAAAGGGCCCGTTTCATCATTATTTCATTACTTACATTACTCGTGATGTTTCTTGCGCAAACAACTAAATTGCGTACACAACTTTACATTATCATAACTTCAACTATCTAATTTGCGCCGCTCTCGTGATTCGTGAAGCGTAATAAAGGGCATAATATAAGGGTATAATACCAGCAAAAAAGGGCATAATTCCCGTGATCGCTTCGAAACCTGGTCAATATTCCGGTAATGAGACATTGCGTGTGATCACTGATCATGTCATGTTTCTATATGAACGATTTCGTGTGAGCCGTGAGGTAGCAAATTAGCAAATACGGTTAGACAAAATAGTCTGTAATTTAATATACCACTTTCTCGCCTATGCGCTTAGTCTGTTTATAAGCGTATAAACACATCTTTTCTTGGCGGAAGTAACTATATTTTTTCGAATGCGTTTCTTCCCACCCACTTTCAAAATTCGGCGCGGGATCGGCACCCCCTTTACATTTTTGCGCCCCCCAAGAATTGCCAGCTCCCCCCCCCCTGCCAGCACGCCACTGCGCAACATAATGTGAGGCAATAGACCTGGTCCAATAGTCAGTACGTAGTCGCCATTTCTATTGGAGTATTGAAGAGGGAGCCGTTCACAGGTTTCACGCGAATTTGGTAGTATAAGTACGAAGTCTTAGCAGTTCAAATAGCTATAAAAGGTTTTCCTTCCATCACTGCTTATGTTTTGTGTGCGAGAAACATGCAATCAAGTTGCTTAGGTAATAATAATGATTTCATCTTTTTGGGGAAATATTTATTACTTTGAGACTGATTTCAGATCGTAATTAGTAGCAATCAGCAAGTCAGACTATTTTAAAGGCATGTTTTACTTTTACGGAATAATTTTTCTTGCAACTGAATTTCACAACCCCCGGTAATTTTTTTCCTCGAATTTTTTTTGGTGTTCCGTATTCCGGAATGATGCTGTTCCGGTGTTCCGTGTTCCTGATTTTACTAATAGCCCGGCCACTTTGACCATTTGATTTCGTCTGTTTCGAGGCCCTACAGTGGAACGGCACACGCGCGCGATCGGAAGATGAATGCCATGAACTGAATTATTGCCATGAGCTTGTAAAATATTTCCTAACCGCGTGTTAAAAACTATCCGAAAACCGCGATTTATTTTGGTCAATAACCGAATCCGGAGGGCTAATTTCGACATTTTCCGTCTCCGCACGATTTCCAGTTAACCGCAAACCGTACAAAATAACTGGATATAACCGAAATCCGACCTCAAAATATGGCTAAAACCGCATAATCGCGAAACTATAATAGGCCCCCAACATGGGATTTCCAAGGAATCTATAGACATAAAGTTTCTCAAGATATAGATTATGATGGTAAACGAATCAGCTGGCATAACGATTATGAATCACTACAGAAATTTATCGAATGTGTATTTGCACAACAAGGCAAATGGAAATCGGCCAGAGGAACTTCAAAAAAGTTTGTAAGTTCTATTGCGGATTTATCTTGCACATGGTATCCCGATAAATTAAACTCCTTGTTATTCCATGGCAAAACTGGGGACTTAGTAAACGAAATTCTGGTCACGGTATGTTAAGCCCGTTCTCCACCAGGCGAATTTATTCGCGCGAACAGATAAAAAGTAGGAAGCGATCCTACTTTTTCGCCGCGAATTTTTTCGCCGACCAATCACGTTGCCGGATTTCGGTTTTCGCTTCGCGTCGCGCGAACAAATTCGCGTAGTGGAGAACGGGCTTAAGTCAACATCGTTTCATACTTTTGAAAACAGCGTGAAAGTGTGTGTTCAAAATATCCCTGTGCTTAATAGTCGGGACACTGATGGCA